ACGTCTCACATGCATAACATGACCATTTTTCATAAGGCAACAAATGGAGTTAACCCTAGAGGTACAAGTGTGCAAGTTTTTATATTTCGTGCTTGATTTATTTTGAATTACGGTTTTCTAAGCATTGATTTTATCTTTCCATACAAACCATAATTACTAGCATTTATATGAAAATCGATAAATTGCGGAAAATAAATTTACTACGCTATTACATCATTTGGGGAGGGGGATACAAATTTACAAATGGGGATTGCAAGAAATTAAACCTAATTATATATTACAACCATATTGAAACTTGAATAATGTACAAGAATTAAAATGTATATGATGTACAAGGATAGAAATGGAAAGGGAATGGATTTTGTTTTTTTTGGATTTTGTTAAGAAAAGATTTTGACCTAAATAATTAAATAAGGGTAATTAATTAAAATAGGAAAATTGAATTAAGTTAAAAATGAAATTAATCAAAGTGCAATTTTAGGGTTTTTTTGCATGAAATAGTTTTTGTTTGGCCTGGCCCAATAATCATTTAATTAGAGAACTAAAAAAATAAAAATGGGCTGCATTGCTGAAGTAAAATGGGGGGTCAGAAAAATAAAAATGTCAAGGCCCAACCAATGGAGGCCCGGGCGCGCTTCCTGTAAACAAAAAAAAAAGAAATGGAAAAAATATGAAAATTGCAAAAGGTCTCGCTGGGGCTCGAACCCGGGACCTTCTAATACGTGCACGCTTCTTGTACCACTTGAGTGGCATGTTTCATCCGTTAGTTATACAACTTGCACTAAATATAAGATGAACTCATTTCTGAAAATTTGAACATGGATTCATCTTCTTCCTTCGCGCGTGCAAGGATGCATATCACCATTGTTAACCTTCTAAATCTTTCATTTCTTATCCAAATCAAAAATTGTAAACATCAAACCTGCTCAAAATTTTAATATGAATCTAACCATGAAACTTTTAAAAGCTATGGATCAGAGGTTATCACGAATTTTGTTTGGTACCAAAATCAAAACCTAACTGGTCAGAGTTGAAATTCGTAAGACACAAGCAATGAAAATAAAAACTAAGAGCACGATCAGCTTCCTAGATATGATATCTACATCTTTTCTTTTATTTGTATATGCTGAAAATGCTTGTATCAAGATATCACAGTTAAGAAATCTTACCTCTTGAAGTGAAATTCCAATGACCTCTATATGACTTCCAGAAATGGTTCGATGATGGATTAAGCTTGCAGGGACCTTCCTTGAGCTAGTGGGATCACTACTTTGCTTTGAAAGCCAGAAGGATTTTGGAAATGGTGGACGAGGAATGAGGAGTTACAGAAGTTGTTTAAGGGTTAGGATAATTTCTATGTGGTATTATGAAAGCTTAGTGAATCGAAAGGCCAAAAAACGCACGAAGGGATTTGAGATTTTGTGTGTAAAGTTAGGATGTGCCAAATTTTGTGCTTGTGTGCAGGCTCTGAGCTTTTGAGAGTTTTAGGAGTGTTTGAGGATTCTTCAACATACAAGAATATGGCCACTTTAGCTTGAAAATGGTCTCTCCATTTATAGAGAAAAGGTTTGGGAAGTTGAAGTAATCAGATTTGCAAGATAACAAATTATGGTTTGGTTGGAATGCAAATATCAAGTTATGTCAAGTCTTCCATGATCCCAAGATGAAGTACCAACGTTGTTGGTATAGAGGGGATACTTTCCATGATTTATGGTGGAGTATAATCAGAAGTAAGCAAGGTATGGGCTCAAGATAAATTTTGTACCAGCAAGCTTACTTTATGGAAATATATTTTGGATAAGTGCTTAATAACTTGGGTAGATTAATTAATTGTGTAAACAATTAATTATGGAGTGAAACACAAGTTTGAGGTCTGCAAAGCAATATCATGTAGCATGGCCTATGGATTCTGTCTTCAACTTGATTCCTTCTACAAAGATCTTGAATCTCTATAGAACTTTGATCTTTTTCTTACTATGGTTTTCGACAAGCATCTTGAATGTCGAATACTCTGTCCTTTCATTTTGATCACATAGATCCACAAATTTCGACCAAACTCATCAACAGACAAAACAATATTTGTTTTCACCAATTGTATGTTCTTCGAATGGACCACATTCATTTGAATGTACCACTTTGAGTATGCAAGATGATCTCATTGGCATAGTCGAAACGAAAGAATTTCTGGATTGCTTTCCTACTAAACAAACTTCACAAAGTTTTTTCCAGGCATCTCAAGACTTGGAATACCAGTAACCATATCTTGAGTAATCAGTTGATTAAGTGGTCGAAAGTTCAAATGTCCAAACTTCGAATGCCACAACTATCCTTATGGTTGAACAATTTTCAAACATTGAAATTCTGTTGAATTGATCATTGTCTTAAATGTCCTGTTTTTTGACAACGGAGATTTTAAGACCAAATTGTTCTTGGTGTCGAACAATATCAAAACTCCATCTTTCATGACAACTGAGAAACTTATTTTTGATTAGTTGTCCAACACTTAGAAAGTTGCACTTTACTCCAAGTACATAGAGCACATCTTTAGTCATGACTTTTCCTCCATTACTCATTTGAAAGACTATGTTTCCAGTACCTTCTTCTTGCAATGAACTATTATCAGCAAGTTCTTTTGTTAAATTGTAATTCATATGTGCGTCGAAGGGTTTAGAGGTGGATCGAAGCAGGTTTCTCGAAGGAAGCCATTTCCCAGTCGAAGCTTGTGGGTCGAAGCAAGCATGAAGATAGAATTGTAATTCATAGTGTCGAAACTATGTGCGTCGAAGGGTTTAGAGGTGGATCGAAGCAGGTTGCTCGAAGGAAACCATTGCCCAATCGAAGCTTGTGGATCAAAGCAAGCATGGAGATAGACTTGCAATTCATAGTGTCGAAACTATGTGTGTCGAAGGGCTTAAAGGTGGATCGAAGCAGGTTGCTTGAAGGAAGCCAATGCCCATCAAAGCTTGGGGATCGAAGCAAGCTTGATCTTGTTCGACTTGTCAAAATCTGCCAACCACTCCTTTCAATCATTCATGTGGTTCGATCAGCCTGGACCATATTTTGAATTCGACATGATTATCTGCAACTGCACACCTTTTTATCTGCTTTGCCCTTTCGACAGTTTCCTCTTCCTCCTTTCGAGGATTCAGAAGTTCCATCTTTGACCTGATGCTTGAGATCCCAATATGATCCATGGAAACTATATGGGGCTTTAAAAGTCCAATTGTAATTGTGCAAACTCAAACCCTAGTTTTGTGTCATCAGTGTTTGAGGAGGTATCTTGAGCTTATCAAACCTTGTGCAGTCTTGAACCAATAGAGATCTTGTGAGAAAATTATTGAGAAATGAGAGGGAAAATTTTGGGGTACAACCGTGCTTACACATAAAATAAGAATTTCTATAATTTCTAAAAAGCTTCAGTATGTGTCGACCTGAAAATCGTATGCGCCGACCTGAAAATATTGAGCTACAACATGTACCAGCACGAAAGGTTTATGTGCCGACCTGAAAAGTGGATGTGCCGCCACATGTAAGTGTTTTCGTGCAGAAAATGAATTTTCTTGATTTGGACCAGTTTTAAACTTATTTTGAATGCTTCCTAAGACCTCTAATGCAACAGTGCCCTAAACGACACAGATACCATCCAATATACATAAATGCTAAGTTTTCCTAGTTTTGATATCATGCAAAATATCTAGTGATAAAGTTGCACTCATAATCCCTCAAATCACAGAGGATAGAAATGCTATGAGTTATTAACCCGTAAAGTTTTTATTTCCTGGCATGTCATTTTTTATGAAACTGAGCTCCTCTTTTCTAATCTAAATGTTTCTACAACAGTTGGGTATAATTTTTTTGATGACGATACACCCTTCCTTCAATCCTATTCTTATAATGCTCCACCCTCCAACCATCAAAATCACACTCCACCCATAACTACACCAGTTCAAACAAACATTTACCAATCATCACCATCTTCTTTTAATTCACCTTTGGCCCCCTCTCACATTCACACCTCACCAACCATAGCATCATCCCCATCCACAACATCACCTCTAAAGCCATCATTACCAACTAGCGTCTCAGTCCCATCTACTACATCACTTATGAATCCTCCACTTCATAACAAAAACCTCCCCTCTCCCCTCAAATGATAACCAGGGCCTAACATAGTATTGTCAAACCTCACAAACTCTTCAATCTTCATACATCAACCTAAACCTCCATATCCCCTCTACCTACAAATCAAATTGATGTATTAAATGATCAAAATTGGTAAATGGCCATGAAAGATGAATATGATGCTCTTATTAAAAATAATACGTGGGACTTAGTTCCTAGTCCGTCTAGTGTTAATATTATTCGGAGTTTGTGGATTTTCAGGCATAAAAAGAAATCCAACGAATCCTTTGAGAGGTACAAAGCACGCCTTGTAGGTAATGGTGCAAATCAACAAACTGGTGTTGATTGTAGTGACACATTCAGCCATGTGGTCAAACCGTCTATCATTCGAACGATTCTCAGTGTTGCTTTATCTAAACCACGGTACCTTCATCAATTAAATGTTAAAAATGATTTCTTACATGGGAACCTTCATAAAACCATATATATTCATCAACCTAGTGGATTTTGTAGTGCTCAATTTCCTGATCATGTCTGTTTATTGAAGAAATCACTATATGATCTCAAACAAGCACCTCGTGCCTGGTACCACCGCTTTACTGATTATGTAGCTACAATAGGTTTCTCTCACAGTATCTCTGTCCACTCTCTTTTTATATATCATCATGGCAATGCCATAACTTATATTCTTTTGTATGTGGATGACATTATTCTTGCTACATCATCTGATACTCTTCGAGAATCTATTATGGCACAATTATTTTTGAATTCTCCATGAAGGATCTGGGGCCTCTATGTTATTTTTTGGGTATTTCTGTCACCCGACATTTTGAATGTTTTTTTCTTTCTCAAAAGAAATATGCAGAAGAAATTATTGAATGAGTTGGTATGTCATCATGCAAACCATCATCCACACCAGTAGACACAAAAGTGAAGCTTAGTGGTTCATCAGGTAACCTTTACCATGATCCAACCAAATATTCTAGCCTTATCGGAGCATTACAATACTTGACGTTCATTCGACCAGACATCTCATATGTAGTTCAATAGACGTGTTTATTTATGCATGGTCTAAAAACTTAACATATTTCTGCCTTGAAATGCATTATTCGATACATTCATGGTACCATAGATTTCGGCCTCCATCTGTACCCTTCATCCATTGACAAGATCATCTCTTACACCGATAAAGATTGAGCCGGTTGTCCAGACACAAGAAGATCTACCTCTGGCTACTGTATTTATCTTGGTAACATCTTGATTTCATGGTCCACAAAATGCCAACATACCTTGTCTCATTCAAGTGCCGAAGCCGAATATAGATGAGTAACTAATATTGTGTCTGAATCATGTTGGCTACACAACTTACTCTTGGAACTATATTGCCCTGTCACAAAAGCTACTATGGTATATTGTGACAACATCACCGCAGTTTATCTTTTTGACAATCCTATTCAATATCAACGCATCAAACATATTGAAATGAATATATATTTCGTGCGTGAAAAAGTTGCTCGCAGTCAAATACGCGTTCTACACATTCCCTCACATTTTTAAATTACTGACATCTTCACAAAAGGATTTTTGTTACAACTCTTTGATGACTTTCATGATAGATATATAAATATAAAAAGATTATTATTAATATTGATTGCAAATGATTAATAGAATCATAACCATATATATATATATATATATATATATATATATATATATATATATATATATATATATATATATATATATATATATATATATATATATATGATTATGAGATAAATGAAAAGTACGACATAAATTATCTTACTGGTGAAAACGTTGATGCACACATAGATATAGTTACATGGATTTTTTTTAAACGTGACACATTGTCATTCCTAATATCAACTAAGAATCTAATAGAATCTAACTTAAATTCTAAATAGTTGTTGATATTTATACACCAACCATTCTTTTTTATAAATTAATTGGTTGAATTCATTTGTTTGTGAAAGTGAAACTTTTGAATGCATTAATTTGTTTGTGAAAGTGAAACTTTTTAATATTAATACATTCATCTAATAACATTATATATTATATATTATACAATCATACATAAAGTTGTCTCTTATTTCCAAAATAACTAAAAATTAGTACTATATATTAAAAAAATTAGGCACAAGTACAACTTAGAATTGTACCTAATCTGTGTGGTTGGGATTGTTTTTCTCGAATCCGATCCTCCCCACTATATAACAAAAAATAAAACTTCATCCAATTTTCTCACATTCACCGTAACTTTTTTCCCCATTACGTTCTTTCTTCCTTTTCCCCTTTCTCTTCGCAAGAATCAGGTATGATCGCTATTCTTTTTTTTCTTTCTTCCTTTCGAATTCATTATCAACAAATATCTATCAAGTTTTTTATTTTAGGTTGGATTTGAAGATTATTCTCTTGTGTTTCTTGAATTCCTTCTAGTTAGGGTTTTGTTTCTGTTCAAAACTTAGTCGAAACCGCAATTATTTCAAAAAAAGTTGTATCTCAAAAATGATTTTTATGAAAAGCTAGTTTGAAATAGCTTCAAAATTAAGTGATTTTTTGAAATCTGTGTAATCAAGTGTTTCCTATTCTATTGCAGTGCATTTGTTATATGCTATATCCCAGTTCATATATTTGAAAATTTAGAACTTCTATTAAGCATATTATAGATTGAGAAATGTCTTTTGGCACATCTCATCTCTGATCTGGCGTATATTTGATATTTTTGCAGTGCTTAGTGGTTGATTACACCAGAAGGACTTAGCTATTAGAAGTTACCAAGGGCAAATTTCATGTCTGAGTTTGACACAAACATCCCAACAACTTTTGGTGGGTGTTTTGAATCTCTTAATTTTTTGTATTCTTTTGATATTTCATGATTCAGGAAAATTGAAACAAGATATGTAACAATTTCTTGTCAACAATTTATAGCGTTGGTTGCTGACGTGGTATGTTAATTGATTAGATCCCTTTGCTGAGGCAAATGCTGAGGACTCTGGTGCCGGTGCCGGGACAAAAGAATATGTTCATGTCCGTGTACAACAGCGTAACGGAAGGAAAAGCTTAACAACTGTTCAAGGGTTAAAGAAAGAGTTCAGCTATAGCAAGATACTCAAGGACTTGAAGAAAGAATTTTGCTGTAATGGTACTGTTGTCGAGGACCCTGAGTTGGGCCAGGTTTGTCTTCTTGTGATTCTCTGTGTATTAATATGATTTAAAGGTAAAATGATTTATGTTTGGAGATACCTTCACATGAAAGTGAGTTGAACCATATGTTTGTGTAAAAACTAAAAACCATGGTTGAATTCGAAAGCTACAAATCCAAAAACATCAATTTTTAAGGCAAAATCAATTCTGATAAGTTACACCTCAAACATACCAAAATCAAATTTAAGACTTCAGTATCACTTTTGAATGTCTCAAAAATGAATCCAAACGTGCAATTGATAGATGTTTAATCCGGTAGATGATTTATTCTCATTGTTATCGGTTAAAGCCTAAATGTTAGTTTTGTATGGAATGGATGCAGGTCATACAACTTCAGGGAGATCAAAGGAAGAATGTTTCTACTTTCCTTGTGCAGGTAAGCATTATGTTTTAGTCTAAATTATTATGTGCCTAATATTGTCCTACTATGAAATAGTGTTATTATACTCTCAAACATTCTCTATGGTGTTACAAACAGGCTGGCATTGTAAAGAAGGAGAATATCAAGCTTCATGGTTTTTAAGCCCTAATCAAAAGTGTGCAATTTAGCTACATGTTAAATTCTTAGCATGCAGACTACAGTCAATATCATCTGAATTCAAGAAATTAGTCATAGCAAACATATTGTCGTTAAAGGGTTTTATATAATCTACTTGCTACATATTTTGGATTAGTATTTGCTAGGTTACCTATGATAAGGATTAATGTCTGCTATTGAGACAAATATCTTGAATAAATTTGTCATTATTTCTATCCATTCATGCCTTGTTGCTTTCTGTTTTGCGCCATTGAAATGCACAACTTTTAAATGCAGTGAAAACTCAACTACAGTTAAGCGTTGCATGGTTGAGTTGAAAAATAAATAAAGGTGTTTATTATTGCTATAGTTTTAGAGTGAATAAATAATTTAAATGCACACATTTCTGAAATTTGTGGTATTAATTGAACATTTATACATCAAAATTGTAGTGAAGATCTTTTTTTTTTGTAAGAAATGATCTATCATTGAGTTATCCATGTTTATGCAGGAAAAATAAGTCTTTTAGAAAAAGGTTTTCTAGCAATAATTTAGTTCTTTTTCAAGCAATTATTTTGTTATTGTTTTTTTTATAACAGTTATTTTCCATTTGATTTTTTTTACCAATTATTTTCCGATTGATAGGATTTTATATAAGTGAATTGAGCATTATATTATTGTTGTAAACATTAAGGATGAAATGTGAAGGTGGCGTGTGACGGAATAAGTGGAGATAAAATAATGAGTTTTTAAAATTATTATTTAAATTATTTATAAAATATATTCAAGTCATTTTAAATAAAAGAATGATTGACTGAAAGTGTAAAATTGTTTTACATAATCCGTGTATTTGAATTAAATTTTTTAAATAATTTTTAAAATTTTATAATATAATTTATGATCTACTTCATTATAAAATTTTATCTTAAATAGTTTGATATTTTATTTTAGTATTATTTTATATTAGTGCTTAGGCAGATATTCATGTGTCTGCTTATCTATTTTCTTCAGTGAATATTCACGTGTCTGGTTATTTATTTTCTTTAGTGAACAAATAGATAAAAATATAAATGATATTTATGTGTTTATTTTTATTTTATTTTAATTATTGAAAAATAATTAAAAAAACGGATGAAAGAAATATGCAAACAGACATAAAACATTTAATTAAAAAGAGAAGTTAATGTTTAAAAAAAAAATTAAAAAGGGTTTTGATCGTACCTGACTAGAATGGACCGCCACAGTTTGCTCTGAGCAGAACTTGAGAGTGAGGTGGGGGAGGGGAGGAATACCTGTAAGACACTCCGATATTAAAGTAAGTTTCGGAATGAGCAAGCAAGTATGAGAGTAAGAAATGTTCAATACCTGATCCTCTCGTAAGAGAGGATATTTATAGTCCACAGCGCTAGGTCAAGGTCTCCTCATTGGGCTGATCAAGCAAGTCCAAAGTGGAGACTTCCAGGTTCTACGAGAGTAGTGGGGACCCGCACGTGGTCCTCCGCCTGGATGACTCCTCTGCAAGATTAAGAGGATATGGATGCGGTCTTTTAGGGGCCACGAAGACTCTGATATTCGGAGACATTGATAGTCAGTCTTACGAGGAGGATGCTTGTGAGGTGCTTCTGCTCGTCGTGGAATGCTCTCTGCCAGACGCGAGATCGTGTGAGGAGATAAGGCTCGGGATCATCCTGACTGGTCGTTTCCTTACGGGGAGCGGAAGTTTCTGCCCGATGTGGATTGGGCCTCACGTGGAGTTGGGCCAAGGGCCAGCCCAGTCCAGAATAGGAGCCCCCAAGTCGTTGCTTCTGATGAAGGAGCTATGACTTAAATCTAGTATCTTCTTTTTACGAAGCGTGTTACTCGACGAGAATCTCTCAGTGTATGGACGGAGAAAGTCGTCGGTATACGGGTTTACCCCGAGCAGCGTTCAGAATGGACTCGAGATGGCGTCGTTCTCGGCACCGAGAGAAGAAAAGCGGCAGGGTGTGGGCACGTGGCGTGATCTTTAGGGTTGTAATGATGGCATAGGGAGTAGGGGCCATCATTAGCTGAGTGCGTATGTGTCGAGGAGAAAGGCGGTTGTTGGGATGCGCGATGCGATGTTTCACATTCCACGTCAGCTCTTTAAATAGCCCCTCAAGGCCCATTATTCACATTTATATTTTCGCGCTCTTCATTCTCTCTACTGCCAACGTCGTGCCGTTCTCTGTAACCGCTGACGCTGTCACACAATCCCCCACGTGTTCCTCATCTACCACTGTCGTTCTTCATCTATTCTTTTCCAAGTATTTTTCTGTGACATTCTTTGTTTAGATTGACTTTGATGCCGTTTTAGTAGTAGGGTTTAGCCACTGGGGGATTTTTCCTGGGGAATTCATGGATTTAGGCGTATTATTCGTGACTGAGCCCGCGATATTTATCTTTTCATCGATATTTAGACGAATTTTCCCTGTAATCTTCATATATCCCCGTGAAATTCATGATTTTTGCGCGAGAAATTTACGCGATCCCCGAGGGATTCATGAGTTCCGGCGAATTCATATCTCGCTCACTGTATTCATCATGTGCCCAGGGTATTCATGAAAAAGTGTTCGCATGAAAAAGTGTCCGTCGTTACGATCATTGTGTGGTCTTATAAGACTGTCATGATTTTCATGGACTGGTCGAGAGCCGTGTATTTTTCCTTTCTGCGCGAATGATTGTCGACTTGGGTTGGACAGTACTTATCCTTTTCATCTGCGTTGTGGAAGGGTGGATTTGGATTTGTTGTCGAATTCACCGGTTTCCTCTGCTTTGCAGGTAAATGACCGACACTCCCGAATCATCAGAGCATATTGACACCGAAGAGACCAGTGTAACCGAGGAGGGCGTCAATTTGGTCAACACAATCGATGATCTTGCTTTGGCTTGGGTCGATGCAGAGCCTCGAGGAATAGCCTCGATATATAGTCACACTAGGAGGCAAGCCTATACTATCGTCGAGTATGGCAACGACCAAGAAGGCTTCTAGAGGAACTTCAAAATCCTGCGGCCGATTCCTACTGCTGGCATATGCTCGGAGTTCAACCACGACGCTTTCCCAATGTACGAGGTCATATTCAAAGACTTGGGACTTCGACTTTCATTCAACGATTTCCAAATGGGAGTGCTTAATCACTTGAACTTAGCACCCTCTCATCTTCATCCCAACGCTATTGCCTTCATTCGGGCATTTGAACTTACTTGCCGGTTCCTGAGGATCAGGGCGACCATTCCCATGTTCTTCAAGGTTTTTCACCTACAACGATAGTCTCGGGGAGGGAAACACAGTTGGGTCTCCCTCAAACAGTCGAAGAGGCTGTTCAGGATGTACATGAACTCTGTCCGCGAATTTAAAGACAAAAGGTATGTCTTGCAACCCTCTACTCAAACATTTGTGGACACCATGTTCGACCCGGATTCCATTGTGGACGAGGATGGAGAATCGTGCTACGATGCCGAGGGTAATCCTGATATCGAACGAATCTCGAAGTTTCCCATCCACTGGTGTTCGGGCCACTACGATCATGGTCCCGGGCATTACCATACTCCCGCCGACGATATGAGCGCCAAAGACGAAGAGGCATGTAACGTCCTTAATCGGTTCGTCGACAGTTTCTTCCCCGCCAGGTGGGTCACGAGGGAAGGATACGACATCCTTAACAAAGACGGTGAGGCGACGTCCGAATCTCGCCCGATCAACACCAAGGCTCTCGTCGAGTGTCAATGTTACGGATATGCTGTGGATCTCTTAGGTTTTTTCTTGCTTGATTTTATTATATTACTTGCCTTATTTTGTTTTGTTTTCATGAGGCTGACTCGAGGATACCGTTATTGTTTTTGCAGGAAACATGGCAGAACGTCGCGAGAGGCTATTGAAGCTGACCCAAGATAAGAAAAGCTACAAGAGGTTGGTGAAGCCGCATCAGCCTACACGCATGGGTTCAATTTCTGAGCCGGCCAATAAAGGATCCAGTGGGTCGTCGGGGACCCTCAGTGCCGACCAACAAGCTGTTGTGTTG